GTCTTTCTTCTCTGGAGCTTTACTCCTCTTTTTTTTGTGGCATTACCAGTACACTGAAAGAGAGCAGGAAGCGAGAGATGACATTGAATTCCTGGAGGTACCTAAATCTGCTTTATGAATATTTGAAGCAATTTTACGCAGCCGTGTCCTTAAATTTCAGACATTTTTAACCGTTTTTCTTTTAAGCTTGTCTCAGCCCAAGCCCTATGTACCAGTCCTGGAGCACAGGGTCTTCAGGCTGGTGGAATTCTGAGGAGCTTTTTTGTGATGCAGCCCTGTTCTGCGTGACAACCTGTGTCCCCGTGGGCACAGCTCACGTGTGAAGGCAGCTTGTGACTACCGTGGGGTTGGTTCCATCTCCAGGGATACCCGCAGCCACAGTCCCTGCTGGAGAACTCCTCTGCTGCTCTGAAGCAAGAGCTGATCTCCAGACTGGACAGGGTGCCTACCCATAGTATCCTACATAGTGCTGTTTCAACTTTAGAGCAGTGAGGGAATTGTAAACGTTATTTTCCAAAAATAAATTAATTTTCCGAGGTTGAAAGCAGCTGGAATAACACAGACAACCTCTCTGTTACTAGCAGAAGAGAATAATTACTGTAGCAATTACAGCCCCTAAATCAATTTGGCTGCTTTTGATCATGTCCTTTAATAACCTAGGACAGAAAAGAAGTCATCTTCTATAAAAATACCCTGCACCTACCAGCAAGACCTGTTTTCTTCGGGTCAAGTACACAGTAACTTTGAAACAAACAATTGAAAACATTTATATTTGGTTAACAAAATTTTGTGGAAAAGGAATAATTACACTGCATGGAGAGATTCAGACAACATGGTAACATGATTAGACTCCAGCTCTACCGAGTCCAAAGTGATCAATTTACACCTGGAGGTGCAGGACAGTGTAACAAGCCCCCTGGCTACGTGAAAAACTGGAAGCCCTCATCTCATTACCACTACTGAAAACCTTTCCAACAGTGAATATTCCACCAGAAAAATATAAGCACCTCAAACACTAAACAACAGCTTTTATCACAAAGATTACTTGCACACTATATAATCTACTCCACGAGTGTACAATTCATCAGTCCCTACAACCAATTACTCATCTATCCCCAACTCCCTCAATTCTAATTGTATGCAATGATTTTATTTCTTTTTCTTAATGTTTGTTGGTTTATGTCATTAAAATATTTACCTTTGTATATAGACTAGAAAACCAGGATGAAGAAAAAAAATTGTATTCACAACACTGATAAAACTCTATTTTGAAGACGACTTCATCCAAACCAAAATCTCTGAACTCCTTTATCCCACTGTGACATTTCAACACCAGAGAAATAATCATCTGTGACCATGTTATCGCAGCTGTTCTCTCAACACCACAGAGGAATTCAAAACCAGTGCAAAAATCCAGGCTTCATAAATACAGTGCCCTTAGCCCCATGCCTGGGCAGTGTTTGAAGAGGCATTTGGACAATACCCTTAATAATATGCTTTAACTTTTGTTCAGGCCTAAAGTGGTCAGGCAGTTGGACTAGATGATGATCGTGGGTCCCTTCCAATTGAAATAGTATATTTCTATTCTATTCTAATTTTCTATTCTATTTTCTATTCTACTCTATTTATTCTGATGCTGGAGGTTCCAAAACTACATCTGTTCAGCATCTTCTGTAACCTTGCGTTCAACCAAATCAGGAATGCCAAGCTCTGCTCTTGCTTTATGTTCTACTTGAATATCCTCCTTTAAATAATGCTCTGCATTTATGATCAGAAATATCAAATCCAAAGTCTAAACCTTCACGCATTAAAAGGTACCGCTAAAACAAAACAACCGCCTGCCAAGCTGCCATTCACAGGTCTTAATGCAGAGAGACACGTCTTCCCAGAATGACTGGGCATTTCATGGAAAATCTGCCTAAAAACAGAGTCTCTGTGGCACAGAGAGTGAAGAGGTGCCACAGGTGTCCCCCCAAGACACACCAGATTTATCCCACCAGCCCACCATACTTTTCCATTGTAGGTTTCTGCTGGTCTTTCTTCTCTGGAGCTTTACTCCTCTTTTTTTTGTGGCATTACCAGTACACTGAAAGAGAGCAGGAAGCGAGAGATGACATTGAATTCCTGGAGGTACCTAAATCTGCTTTATGAATATTTGAAGCAATTTTACGCAGCCGTGTCCTTAAATTTCAGACATTTTTAACCGTTTTTCTTTTAAGCTTGTCTCAGACCAAGCCCTATGTACCAGTCTTGGAGCACAGCATCTTCAGGCTGGTGGAATTCTGAGGAGCTTTTTTATGATGCAGCCCTGTTCTGCGTGACAACCTGTGTCCCCGTGGGCACAGCTCACGTGTGAAGGCAGCTTGTGACTACCGTGGGGTTGGTTCCATCTCCAGGGATACCCGCAGCCACAGTCCCTGCTGGAGAACTCCTCTGCTGCTCTGAAGCAAGAGGTGATCTCCAGACTGGACAGGGTGCCTACCCATAGTATCCTACATAGCGCTGTTTCAACTTTAGAGCAGTGAGGGAACTGTAAACGTTATTTTCAAAAAATAAATTAATTTTCCGAGGTTGAAAGCAGCTGGAATAACATAGACAACCTCTCTGTTACTAGCAGAAGAGAATACTGTAGCAATTACAGCCCCTAAATCAATTTGGCTGCTTTTGATCATGTCCTTTAATAACCTAGGACAGAAAAGAAGTCATCTTCTATAAAAATATCCTGCACCTACCAGCAAGACCTGTTTTCTTCGGGTCAAGTACACAGTAGCTTTGAAACAAACAATTGAAAACATTTACTTCTTCCCTTTCAAAGACGTCTTTTCTTATTGCCTATCTGGAATCTTCACTCAGAAGAAAAAAAAAATAACTTTGAAACAAACAATTGAAAACATTTATTTCTTCCCTTTCAAAGACATCTTTTCTTATTGCCTATCTGGAATCTTCCCTCAGAAAAAAAAATATAATAAAAGTAGAAAAATACTGGAAAATCCTCATGAACTGGAAACCCACACAAACTTAAGGAGGGGTTCAAGGACAGGGGACAGACTGGAAATTATATAAGCCCAAGGCTTTCTGTGCTTCCCGTTTTGCTGCAGCTTCTTATCCCCTGTACACCTCAGAAAGGGGCTATGTGAGCACAAAGAAAGGGAATTAAGGAAAGAACATGACATACATTTTACATACTAGTTGTCACAAGTGTTATTCTTAGATACCTACCTTTCCTCCTGTGGGTACTCCTGCTTTATGCCTGTTTGGGAGCAGTTTCAAGCTTGTCTGACGGCAACCTGCTGCAAACTTCTGTTTTTTTGACGTGGCATTTTAGCAAGCTAAGGTTAACTCACAAACGAGTCAGACAAGCATCAGAGACAGCAGCAGGCACGTGCCCTCCCCTCCTTAAATCCCCTCCAGCTCACTGGAGCACACTTCACTCAGGGATTCCATGCCAGGAGTCAGGCATCCAAAACGCGGATGATGCGAGACTGTACGTCACAATGCCGACGTTCCTGAGAAACAGATTTTCAGCCACAGATTTCTTCTCACTCCTTCCATAAAGTAATATGCACATTGCTTTGAATAAACAGGCATTTCTTAGTATCTTGTTTTAACCATGTAAATACTGTAAAGTTAAAAAGTACTTTGTCATACCATAGTTTTACTTTAGGCAGGGACCATGCCTTTGTGTGTGTAATTACTCTGAAGAGGGCTGTATATTCCTTTGTTAATGCAATTCACTCAGTCATAGAATCATAGAATCATTGAGGTTGGAAGAGACCCTTGGGATCATCGAGTCCAACCATCTACCCTACTCTACAAAGTCCTCCCCTACACCATGTCCCTCAGCACTGCATCTAAACGGCCCTTAAACACATCCAGGGATGGTGACTCCACCCCCTCCCTGGGCAGCCTGTTCCAATGCCCGACCACTCTTTCTGTGAAGAATTCC